CTGTTTCCAACTCTCCAAATTAATAGAAAATACACCTCAGGCACGGTGCGGTGTGGCCACGTGTGCTGTTGTGTTATTCTAATTTCCCGCAGCAATACGGTGACAAAAATTACGCAACAACAGAGGAGGTTTCAGCCGCAGTGCCACCAAAAGGACCGCAAAGTTAAATTGAGCGCCACCGACAACTTTTGGGCCAGTTAAATTATTTGCACTGGCTCTATTCAAATTATTTAGCATCGCTAGGGTCTCCTCCCCCACTCATATATTGATGTTTGTATTAAGGGAAGTGGCCTGCAAGTTATTATATCCCACACAATTATTTTAGCCGGTCAAGTTAGCAAGCTGAAATTCTAGATGGTGATGTTCGATGATCACCTTGGGACATTTGTTTACTATCTTTCAAAATGCCAGTCTTGCAGACTGTCAATGTTAAGCGTTTTTGTACTTTCAATTGCTTTGAGCTCAACAAATGACCATTTATATGAATTGTTACCTTCTAAAAAAGACAGAATGTACAATAGAGTATGAAAAATTAATTTGAAAAAAATTAAGAATTTGACGATACTTTTTGACTGAAATGTTCCACATCTTATTGTACATTTGAATAGGTCTTTTCAGGAAAAAAGGATTGGTATGATGTATAAAGGTTCTGGTGATTGGTTGTTGGATTATGAGCGGTCCAATGTAGAGAAACCTTCAACTTTTACAGGCTGCTAGTCAGTCACTTTGAAAGAGAGTGGTTTTAAATTCTACGTTCATAATTCACTTATAAAGAACTTTAGAATAGGGTACCACAATTTGGAAAAATCCATCCGTCATCTTGGAATTTTCTACTGCCACCTTTAGGCTAGAATATAGTACTTATCCATCAATGTCATCAGCCCGAACTTCAGCTGGCTATTTCACCCTTCTAAAGGATGTGATTGGAACTTTTTTGAAAAGTACTGTCTAGATTTGTAGGACAGTGAAAAGCTTCAAGCTGTAGTAATGTCCATGTTGTTATGGTGATTACTCATTTAACTAGGGCTGTGAATTGTTCCATCTGTGGTTTTATCTGACAGTCAGAACAACGTTGAGATGAGCCAGCAAGACATCTGAAGTCTTGAGAGGTACATTCATTAATCCTAAAAATGGAACCGCTGATGCATCTTGGGTTTGGTGCTACATGTGACATTTGTAGAAAATGTATAGGAGTCTTCTTTTTGAATTTGGACTTAATCTGCAATGTAATGTGTGATTCTAAATATTGTATGAATTATAAATTAGCGAATCCGTGTCCGTATACATACAGGGTGGACACCATGTGAGGACGGAGTATTGCTCCTAAACAGAAACCTTCATAAAAGGCATTTATGGGTTAGTGTGTATCTAGGGGCAAGTATTCCAAATATTCTCGATTAGGGCCACATATCGAAAATGACTTTTTTTAAATGAAATACCTTACTTTTTGTTACATATGCGAATATATATATCGCCTTATCAAAAGGTTTTTACGACCTACTTAAGGGGTTTTGATTATCATTTCCCGAGCTATTGGATGTTTTATATAAAAAACAAGTTTGATAGTCTGCATATCAGTTATCTTGACAGGTGGACTTCTGATTTTTTTCAATGATCTATAATGCTCACATTTAGTATAATTGATCTACTTTTCAATTATTTGAGTGTTCACTAAAGTGTTGTCAAATACGCAAAACCTGCTTTTTCTTAAAAAAAATAAATATTAAGGATAAGTTGTCTTCTGAGAATGGTCTTTCAGTAATAATTAACTATTTATTAAATAGGTTCAGTAAAACAAGTAGTGGAACAGCTACAACCTACCATACAGTGTTAGGTCCCTTATTATTTACACTTTACATTAATAGCCTGCTGAGCTTATAATCTGAAGGGACAATCATATGTTTTGCAGACGATCATTTATTCGGATGACAACTGGTAGGATGATCTAAAAGTGAAGGTTGGAAGATACTTAATAATAATTGCAGACTTATACCAAAACGTCTAGGCCAAAGATGTCATACTTACCTTTCCAGTAGATTATATAACATATTATCAAATCATAAACCTATAAGAAATATTTCAATTATAACAAAATTCAAAATTGAAACCAAAAAATTTATAGTTGAAATAAATCGACATCAAATTGCAAACATGATACGTATGAAAGAAATTTAAAATTAGTAGTAACAAGCCCCCAACGTTCATATATATATATATATATATGAACGTTAGGGGCACACACACACACACAGACACAGACAGTTTGGTGTTTTTAATATAAAATACTCACTAGCTCAGGAACTAATAATCTAAACCAACAAGTATCTTGTATCAATGTTTTTCTTTCACCTACTGGATTCAATCCGAATACACTTACAAATTTTGATACCAAAAAACATCGAGCTTATCTTAATTTTGTAAAAAATGGAAGAAAATCCCGTTTGAACAAAGAAAGTATTTGTATCGACTTTTTGTATCTGGTGTGTCCAGAAGTTGAATTGGTACTAACGATTAATACATCTTATTTGAAGATCAGTTCAGTTTGCACAGACAGCCTATGGCAAAGTACAACTGTTAACAGTATACCCCAAAACGGCATAGTTTTTCATTGTTCTATGCTGTGTTTTTCTCTGATAAGCTGAACAACTTTGCGCCCTCAAGATATTAACATCATTTACCCAATTCGATTAATGTTCACCTTTTTTGTCTGCGCTTGAACTACTTGGAAAATGCTGCAGTGGTGGTACAAAGGACAAGTGTATTTCTTTGCTGAAGACGAACACAATGTACTGAATATATAGGTATTTATAGAACCCATAATATCACTTCCTATGGCAGTTTCGGAGTACTGTATCATAGTTGGCGTATTCTCTCCAAATGTCACTTTTGCCCTTGTTTTTCTCCGTCCTATTTGTATTTAACCATTAATAACATTTTTTATTGTTTCTTTGCAGGTAAGGATTCTTCCTTGGCGAAGTCTCAACGATGTTTTGCATGATAGATAGCTGCAAAGGTATGAATAACGTTCAAATCTAAAAACTGGTAGCCACAAAGCTGAGCTTGTGCGGATGATAGCTGCACTATATTAGTCCAAATATAGGATTTCGTTAAGTCGATGCCTGATGTCGTTGAAGTCAACTATCAAATTTTGGGGCAATTAGCTTGAATTGGATCAACATTGCATTGGGTAGGCCAAACATATCATGTACAATCTGCGAATATCAAAGGTGTGTCAATTTTTACTCAACAAACAAGGTTGAAAATTGTTTCAAAATAAACCAACCTTAAAATGCTCTTCGGGAACTTACGGGTGAAGGTTTTATCTCCAATATAAAATCTAGGCAGTCTCAAAATTTATAATTGTTAACAGAATGTTTTAGCAAAAAAGATACCCCTTTATCAGGGTTTTCCAGACATTTTAAATCGAAAGCATCAACTGTATAGACAAGCTACTTAGAAGCTACAGTGTTCAGAGCCACCCAAAATAACTGAAGAATGCACTTGGGGCGGAAAAATGTTTTTAGTAGCTTATCTAAAAAAAATTATTCTGGTTATAGAACGACAACCGCTTCATTCATGTTAAGGGATGTACTACAAACGTGATTATAAAAAAGCTAAGTTGAAAAGCGTTTCTGGCCAATGCAAGGTATCTCGCCTAGTCTAATATCACCGCAACTGTGCAGAAATGAATATCGTGGAAGTCATTAATTTATCAGATTTGGAAAAAGTAATTGTAGCTGACAGTCAAATTTCCTAAATGTTCCTTAAAATTCCTTCTAAAGCTACACGTTAGATTATACAGCACCGATTGTGGCAAAATATTTCAGTATGCATGATAGGTATGCACCTGTTTCATTGTCTTACTGAAACAGTTAATATAATTTATTTATTTACTCTGCGAAAATCTATAGTCCGTCTTTTATTGGCCTACCAAGCATTTCTGGGTCCGTCTGACCATAATTTATGGCTTGTCAAAGCTGCTGGACATCGCAAGCAGCGGGGCGTTGCCAGATTATGGCAGGTGAATTAGAAATGAATGGTAGGCTGATAATGCAACTTGTAGCTTTAAATAATATGCGCGGAAATTTGTTTGTCAGCTGCAGCTTCAAAAGAGAGGTTTTCTAACCGGATTATTTTTTCATAATCACGCTGATGAAAGTTCCCTAACATGAATCAAGGGGTATCCGCCTCCAGATCGAATTTATTCAAATAAATTACACAAAAATGTCACTTTCGCTCCGGACATTATTTTTAAGTTTTTTTTTTATCATTCTGAACAGAAAAGGTAACTTCTCTCGAAGTTTGACTGCTTTCGAGTTATAATGGGTTTAATGTCCTGTACAATAGGCATCCTCAATGCATAGAAACTCTGTTAGAGATTACAGTTTTTGAGTTTTTCGAGTATCTAAGTCAAAGGTAAGACCCTGTTAGACCCCGAAGACTTTGGTTTATTTTAAAGCAATTTGTACCTTTGTTTGATAGTCCAAAATGAACGAACTTTTGATTTTCGCAGACTACTTTCTAGCAAGCATGAATTTCACACTACGACAGTATACTAACAGCTGACTATTGAATAGGTCTTACCAACCGCTTATCTTGAGAGCACTGAGTGATGTCAATCGTAACATAACATCAACCAAGTCCAAGTTCGAATCATGTATCCATCTGGGATACGAGGAACATTTCTCCTTGGATCGTAATTTTTACAACCATTGCATCCACAACTTCTACCGTGTTACAGTTTTTATTAGGCAACATTTCTGTTGGTATGACTAATAATAGATCATTTGGCTGTCCTGACAGAGTTACGCCTTATCAGAACCATTAAAGGCTGAAGCCACATCATTAGAAAGCGTTGCGCAGGAGTCGTTCCACAAAGCTTCCTCGTGACCTTCATCAACACCTTAGGAGCCCCTGCCGACATTGAAGCACTACGGTCAGTAGCTCTACATTGGCATCGCTAATCACTTGAAACTATACTCGCCTCGCTTACCAATCCAATATCAGAATACAGCAACGGCAATCTGCACGAAGACCATTAATCGACGGCCTGTCACGATAATTGGGATCTTAAACTCAACCAAAAGGTAAATTATTATCCTAGCTAATCTCAAGTTTACTTAAAATAAGATAAATTCCAGACAGGACGGATTGATTACGTGGGGGATTAGGTTTGCATTAACTTTATATCCAATTAAGTGGAGGTATTGCTGGCTCTAGCAATAAATCTCCGTGGTCCTTTGATATTTGAATTCCACTTGAGGGAAAACAGCAACCACCACAGTTACTGCGCTCCCAAAGATATATATTTCAAACTGTTGGACTTTTTTCGAACCAGGCAATTTCTCTTAGTAATACGTAAGCCTCAGATAAAGTTTGCTAATATTTCTTCTTTTCGTGTCCCTCGGCGTAAGAGTAAAAATATATAGAAAAATATATAGATAGTCGTTAATGCTGGCTGTGGGGGTATATGCGCGTCTTATATACAAGGCGTCCTAAGACACGCTGGCGTTCTCTTGGGTTCACAAGCAAACGCGTATGAAAAATGGCCTCAAGTAAATTGACTCGACACTTTCCACCACTTTTCATGTAGTGCAATGGCATCAAAAAAACGTAGGTGTTGTCAGAACCAATAATGAACTATTTGGGCATTTCAAATTGCAACAATGAGCGTTTTCGTACACTCTGGTGTAAAACTGCTTATCAACAATGTTTCGTAACTGATTATAATAATATTTGATGCTTCTTATAAACTGTACAACTATATATAGTCTAATCATATTAGTAAATTAGAAATAGTTGTAAAGTCTGGTTTGCAAGTTTTTCAAGGGGGTATTTAAAACATGGACGCATAAAATGGGTACACCAACTGTTGTGGGAAAACTTTTTACTTGACAATAAAGAATGAGAAAACGTGTTTCTTGGAATTCAATCGAAAGTGTTGACAGAAACGAAAAAACTCTCTATTTCAGATTTTCAGGTATTTATGAGACCTACCGAATGAGACAATACGTAAAAAGATCCCAATAATAGCAAAAATATAACGGCCGAAAAACGAAGGCAAAATGCAGGTTTTGGCAATGCGACGATAATTGCATGCAACTACTTGAAAGACTTAAAATCCGTAGGATTTATACTTCTAAATAAGAACAACAAATTTTTAATTGTTTATCCCAAAACACCTGTCTTCTGGTCATCACGACCAGTTTATTGAGCAATATACAGGATTCCTTCATAGAGCATTTAATTGCAAAATACACGCGTTTACCTTGTCGATATGAATCTCAAACCATTCTGGAAGATAAATTATTTATGTTATTTTTATGCGAAAAACGAAGGTTACGTTTTTTTCTTCTAAACACATTCAAACATTTCGTATTTGTGTAAAAAAGAGGCAGAGGTATATTTTTTACTGTTTTTATGAAACATCAATAAGAAACACTATCCTGTATGACCTGAATTCTTTTCTCCCTGCAACAGCAAACATCTGTAACAATAAAAAAGCACATGAAAAATAAAAAAGAAAAAAATTGCTCGTAGACACATTTTTTAGGGTTTCTATAAAAAATGCTTATTAACATTAAATAGCCTTAAGTTCTTTCTTACTTAAGTGGGTGAAAATTGAGTAAAACGTATGAATTCACTTTACAAAACGCATCCACACTTACATTCACATTTGTTGTTGACTTCCACAAATGTTTCTTTAGCTAGTTTGTAAATAATAAGTATAATGACTTCATGGGCTAATTTGTTAATTAATAAACTTTCACGCCAGAAATTATATAATCTGAAAGTATTAACAAAGTGAGAATTTTATTTATAAAATTAAACTGATAAAGTGATGAATATATACCTAACAATAAACAGGTACCCCCGATGAAGCTAACAGGTTATGTTTCCTTTACAAGTAACATCTAGAACATACAAGTCTCTCTAAATACTTGCCTTAATCATTTATTTGAAAACAACTAAATTGCATCCAAGATCTGTGTTTGAAAGCATGGGAAATATCAATTAATTCCATCAAAGTGGTCCATCCCAGACCAAAATCTATATTAGAACAAACTTAAATACATTAATACCATCTGGGTTCAGATTAAAACTCACGAACTAAATAAAAAACACAAAATTATAAATTACACGTCTCTTATAGTAAACAAATAACTTTTGCCTCATAATGGCGGATGAGCGGAGTTAAGTCCCTATTGTCGTCACTGTCCCGATAAAGCCACCGTCAGTCCTACCATCTTGGTGCAAATGAAGTAAAGCCGCGCAGCTTGATCCACCTTTATGAGTTTTGCATGTTTCTAATTGAAGTGGTCTCGATCTGACCAAGTATGTAGGTATATTGCAGTGGATTCTAATCAGAGTATTTTTCCGAGCAGATGCGAGGGTACCACCTAGACCAGACGTTTCATACTCTTACGAATACTTTGGAACATCTAGTAGTCTAGTGTCAAACTGACAAACTCAAATGATCGCTAGAAGAAACAGACTTGAAACCTTCTTCTTAAGTTTTGTACTTGCTTATACGAGCCCCTTCCCACTTCAGTTGGCCCACTTCAAGATTTGTACCAAAATATGCCTTTATAAACTAAACATGACGAAACTATTTACTTCTAAAACAATTTATTTTCTCAAAAACATTTTAGATACACTCTAGTCGTAAAAAATACATATTTGAAATCACTTAGACCTATAACTAATTTAAGCCCAGACAAAACACGACATGCCCAAAAGCGACATATTTTCCCGAATGGTCTTATTTTGGTTTTTAGCCATTTCGTCAATAACATTAAGAGTATATTTATATTTGTGCTGCCTGACTAGATGGTTAAGTTCTGCTTTGACCATATATTCATTAAGACTAATGTCTTTTGATAGGAGCATTGTCGAATTTCGGCCTTTCTTGTGGGGATTTTTTCTAGTTTTCTAGTGTGGTAAGCAGCATTATCAAGTACAACGACGGCATTGTCGTTAAGCATTGGGAGCGTTTCTTCAAACCATCGTTCAAATCAGCTCCCGTCCATTTCTTCATGGTAGTCGGTCGTTTTCTTTGACTCAAATGCCTATAGAGCAGTGTGCACAAAGCCAATGTGACAGATAACTAATCGTTTTCGTTTTCCTGGAAATAATTATTTCATATAGTATTCAAGAAAACTAATAACAATATAAGCAGAGTACCTAACAGGTGTTGGTTCCAAATCTACCAGATATAGCTAAGTTTAGTCTAGCTAAGTTCTCAGCATGGGCTCATGGATTCAGTCTACTTGACACCATTTTTACAACAAAATGACGAAATGGTTAGATACACGTACCTGAGTCAGCCCATACTTTAGGCTTTGTTTGTCCTGCATTTATCCAGATTTCATCCAAGTAATGAATCTTCCTGTCCTGGTCGCGGTAGTTCTTTATTGATTTTAAATAATTTCTTCTCTATAAAATAATCTCTTAGCTGTGCATCAAAATACTATTTCTGCCCCGTTTTCTATACTCAAATTGAAGTTCTTTGAGTAAGCTATAGAATGTGGGGTCCTTTTTAAAGTGGGTAAGTTTTCATCACTATAAACCTCCTGTAATACTGTAATACTTTGTCTATGGTGGGAGGTTCCTGCCTTTCAAAAAATTGATGGACTTTGCATCTGATGGCATTCAGATCAAAAAGTATCCAACAGCTTCGTCTAATGCAGCCTCTTGTGTGGTGGAGACATTTTTTGTTTTTTTTTTTCATATTCTTTAACAATGTTAAAAATTGCCTTAGGACATAAGCCTGTTTTGTTCGCCTTGCAATATCATGAATTTTCAGTTCGGGATGCTCTAAGGTTTCGCTCTTATAAACGTTAAGGTCAATTTCTTTTGCCTTAATATTCAAATAACCCTTCTTGTCCTGTTTTTGGGGAGGAGACGTCACTGAATAGGAAGCATGGCTGAAAGAAGCATTGTGAGAAATATTCTCAGTTTCATATACAGCATATGGATACAGATTCGTAGAGAACATGCTAACGTATAAATACACGCTATGTATGCACCGAATATGAACAGCAACTGTCGGCGTCGGTATGCCGGCGATACCCCGAGCCTCAGTGCTATCCCGTCGAATCCTGCACTTTTTCGTAGTTTTATAGCCGACGGACTAATAGCTATTGCAACGCTTAGGCTGTTTTGCTGGGCCGTAAAAGGACTTCGAATAGGGTATAATACTTCGTTGGCTCTGAGAACCAATGTTTTACAGCGGCAATGCGGTCTAGTATCTACATGTTGGTGTTGAGGTATGTTGGCTCAATGCGTAGAGGAGCCATTAGCATATCTTAAGATATGGTGAGAGGACTTGGGAATAAAGTGAATCTTGGAACCTGGCTGTTACTTCAGCCCCTCTGCCCTATTGTGCTACATGTGCAGTTGTATAGTACAAATGTGCTTAATTTTACATGATCATGGCAATCCTGGTGTTAGCTAATTGACTGATAAATGCTGTATCCCGTTTGAGTGCTACGTCAGCTTAACAATAGTCCTATCACGTGGCTCGAGCACCATTATAAATTCACATTTCCATCACGTCACGGCAATACATTAGGGCGATTAAACTTTTTATGTCTATAAGAGCTATAAAGCATGCATAACCGTGTATGTATGTGACTTCCGAAAACACGCTGCACTTCTGAAATATGTCACGATACAACGTGTTTTTTTCTATTTGTAGCATTACGTCGTCATTAAAAATTTAATTGCAGCTGTTGTCGAGTTGCGAGTTTGAATGGTTTGGGATTTGTGCAATCTAATCGATCCGATAGGCAAACTCTGTGTTATCACGTTAATAATCAAATAACAGGATATTAAATGAATGAACAGAAGTGAAGCGAAGCCAACAAAGCGTGGTTTTTATTCCATTTCCTGAAACGATATATACAAAATTTAAGCGATATTTAAATACTAATGAAATTTACTATTTTTCGGGTTGATGCCTTTATCTATATATTTAGCAGATAAAAAGAATTTTTTGTGAAAAGTAAGCTGAAGCATTAGAGCATCCATTTGGTCAGTAATGCCCATTTAGGTCTACAGACGCACTCCAACATTTTAGTATAGTAAATCTAATAACAACATTCGATTGCGTAGATCATAATAGGCTTCTAGACAAATCATCGAGATACGGAATTCGTTTTCTTGCAGATCGAAAGAAGTACTTCTATATAAATGATCGTGCAGTGTCTGAAAAATGTTTGCTAACATTGGTGTAGACCAAGGATCAGTGTTCTTGGTCTACATAAAGGACCTGGATCCGGACCAGTCAACTTCACTATATTTTATATATATATATATATATATATATATATATATATATATATATATATATATATATATTGTATTCATAGTTAATTGCCTTAACTGTTAGGAGATAATATCCTCGAATTTCTTTGCCATCAACTTGAACTCGAGCTTTCGTTGGTCTATGCCATCATCACCTGGAGCTAAAAAACAATTTTTGAAAAAAATAGCAACAATAAACAATTAGGAGTAAAATAAATACTTACTAAGTCGGCGATATCGTTGCTGAAATTGTTCTTAAACGACAGTGAAAGGGAAACATAGTCGACGAACAAAAAACTGGACCAATGAGGTTCGATTAGGACGGAATTTTTTTTAATTTTAATAATGTATGGCAACATCATAGCTATGTTTTTTAAACCAGTGACTGATTTGAAAGAACTTGAAAATTTATCAACTATTGAAAAATCCTTCGAGATTTATTATTCCTAATAACCTCCACATTATTTAACACGTGCGTGCCGACTGACACTCTCCAGTGGCATATGAAGTATGACCTTGAAGCTATTGAACAGCTGTTGAACCTTACGTACTTGTGATGTGTCTTTCCTACTATGTAAGAAGTTCCGTAAACTAGTACGAGGGTGTGTTTTTTGTTATCCGATGAAGGAGTGTGATTTGGATGCTATCCTACCACCGAGCTAGGTAATATGAAGGAACTTTCAAACTTGTGGAAAGATAATTTGTAACAAACTTATTTTAATTTGATTATAGATGGTGAAAATTTATATAATTAGAGCGATTCGTGAGAAAGGTCGATGTCGGGAGAGATATGGTGCTTTTCCAATTTTTCGCAGTTCAACAAGTATGCATAAATGACGCTAAGTTGACTGACATCAGCTTTTTTGTTCATGCAACTGTCTGTCATGAAGATATGTGACATTTTCAGGAACAACGTTTTGATAGATTGTTTTCTCTGTTTAGCACCTTGATATCACCGTATCCCATTTGACGCCCTGTGGTGTTGACATGTGAGGCCAGAGCACATCTTTCTGGATGCAGTTGGGCATCGCTTTTATGTGAGGCTATTGTACCTTTTAGGGATCTTGAGATTGCAGTTATTGCATTTGATGGAGTAGACAATGTTGGATAAGCTAAGCAGAGGAACTCATCTTTCATTTTGGAGAAAACATTGTTAAATGTGAGGGAGGATTTGTAAGCAATGCGACCACTTAAAGTGTTGTTCAATCTAGAAAGTTTTGGTATTAGGTCTTTAATATACGGCAGGACTACAAAATTATTTCTGGAAATAGATGAAATATCTGTATTGTTAGAATGATTGTTATTGTTATTGTTGGAAGGGTCGGGATTGTTGTTATCATTATTATGTGAAAGTGGTATAGCAGTCGGAGGGCTGAACAAAATTCTGTTAATCGGGTATATTGGATAAAGATTATTGAAGAAGAGTGTTAAGAGTTTGCGTAAGTTAGAAAGATGGAAAGTACTGTCAGAAATGCGAATAACCCTTGTTTTCATTTGTTTCACCAAGTTTATCTTTATCTTAAGTTTGTGGTAGGACCTGAAGTTCAGGAATCTGCCTGATGCCATAGGCTTCATGTACCAGTCTACCAATAAGATATTGTTGTTTCAGATTATCTTTGAGTCAATGAATGGAACCGATCGATTATCATATTTTTCTATGGCGGATTGAATATAGGGATCATAGCTGTTAAAAACTTACAACAATACTGTCCAAACCTTCAACAGGTAGGCAAACAATGATGTCGTCTACGAATTTTTTTCTGAAGGTAAGGTTATGAGGCAGTACTTGAATAACAATATCGTAATTTGAAATCAGTCCTGACATTTGATCACTCATTGTTGTTTTACCATGGCCGGGTGAGTAGTACACTGCGATATTGTACCTGCTTTTGGGCCAAGAGTACATCAGCACAAGATGTATTATTGGCCCAAAAGAAGACAATAAGGTGCATTCGTTTTGGTATCTAGTAGGCATTCGTGTAAAAAATTATTCAAGAGGAACGATATCATGACAGTACCCAGCCTCTTTATATTTAAAATATCCATTTATGCTTACAAAAATGTGTATTATAAATTTAGGACAGTTGTGACATACACAGTGTATCCACTAGACAATACGCTGACATATACGTTACCTATCGCAGATCTAATTTGAGCTATAATTCACGAGACTGCACTGGGATGAGACTTTGGAACTGAATAGCCGATAATTTGAGTATGACTGACAGTTTATGTTATCTTACTAGGTGCTTCAAGTCATACTTGACAAAAAATTGCTTTTATACAGTGGCAACGTTCCCTAGTACTTGATATTTTCTTTTATTGTCGTTGCCTTTCTGAGCCCTTCGTGATTTTTCCTATCTTTGGTTGAATCTTCTTTTACTGTCCCTACGCAATATAACAATGCCTTTGGGATTAAATTAGAAAAACTAAACATTCTGTTTTCGTCTGTCTGTCCGCAGACGGCCAACCATGAGTTTGAATCCAGTCCCAATAGAATTACTATTTTGGCTATAGTTGTTGTGATTGTCCCTAGATGGTGGATGGTCACAGACTGTCGAAGTACCACCCGGCGGATCTCTAAGGCGGGTCCAGATTGGTTATATGTTGCATGCACACGTGTTCCATCACTACAGTACGTGTGATGTTCCCCCTTTCCCCTGTATTTCCCCATAGGAATTTAAGTGTTCAGCCTGCGAGGTGGGTCAAGTATAAAACTGAAACGTTATCATTCTGCAGCAATCATTCGTAAAAATAGCACACTTGCGAATCGTAAATATATTCCTCATGCTGTTCCCTATTTAGCTTGCTCTCCGGGATATTTTACAAGTTGAGACTGAACATGAGGGGTTAAAAACTTGACACTATATACCTTTGACACTGTCGTTACAGCCGGCCCTGCCTTTCACACGTCTGCGTCAGAAAAACTCAGCTCTCTAGTTATACCCGCACGTATTGCAGCCTTTGGGATGCAGCTGCAGTCATCTCCAGCGACCGTGATGCCCTGAGGTAGCATCCGGAGGTCTGCAGCTCATGAATAGCCCGTTTAAAAAGCTGAGGAATGTCCATAAACAGCTTTTAGCTGCTGAATTTCAATTAACGCCGAGTCTTTTAAAAGTAGCTGCACGGCTCGGCTGTACGTTTATGTATGTTGCAATCTGTAAGCTGCGGAGCAAGAGGGACAATGGATAATGAATGAGAAGCGAATCTAAGGCGCTGCATACGTGTTATACTTAAAGCAAGGCGTAGCTAGACAATTTGCTAAATCTGACTGAGCTAGTTGATAAGATTGTTTGTGTAGAGATTTTTATATTTGGCTGATTCACCAGAACACAACCGAAATAGGCATCGAGTGGTAATGGGCACAAACTTGATATGGTGACAAGTATGTAGACATATTCGTTTGTCTAAAGTCGTTCTACATTTCGTTGCTACAAGTCATCGTTGCTGTGGAAAAACTACTTGCGTACAGTTTTTTTGTAATTGAAGTTATATACGCATATTCAGCTCAAGTTGTCTTATTCGGTGAAGTAAAAAACGCCTATACATAAGCGTTTGTACAAGCTTAGTGCTATGTTATGTAAAGTTAACTGAAAATTCGATTCATATCTTGAGAAACTCGTTAGAGAAGCTTAGGTACTTCCAAAGACAGATTTATTAACTTATATTTAGGAATTATTTTTATACCTTTTTGTCACAGACAATTCTGTTCAATTATCATGAAGCTCCCTGAGCTTTAGAATAGATTTTTATAAAAAATAACTTTCTTTAAAGAAGTTGCTGTAATAGCAAAAATCTAAGATTTTCTAATTTAGGAATGGTTGTGCTTTTATGACGTTTCATATTACATATTCATCACATGGTTAGGGGTCGTCGTGCGAAGAGAAGATTGCCTGTGATTTACGGTATCAAGGATTCTGTCACTACATGTTGCTTTATTGACCAGGCAAGTATGAGGCATTATCGATATGAAAACCACAGGATAAGTTTTAGATGTTACACAATGAAGATAAATAGTAAATTATCTGTTCTTTTAGCGGTTTGGGTTCAATAGCCTGAAGATTTTAACGTTCAACGGTTCACGTTAAAGGTAGTTTAGGGTTAAAATGAAGAGCTAAGATTCATTTCCTTAGCGATGAAACAACTCGGTGGAAAATAAAATAAATAAAAAATTGGCGGGTAACGTCTTCATCGAGCAAGACCCATATTCTGGTCCAGTATTCCTGTTTACACGTCCTCACCAAATGGTTCTTCCATTCACAATTACTCACGGAAGTAAATCCGATTTTCACGAAATTGCCTTAATTAGTACCAGAGAATTCCAGAAAATACGTTTCCATGAGTACTAGACTGTAATACAAAACTATTACACGGTTATTTCTTGGAGCTAATCAAGAGGTTCTGTATTCTGTGTCCTGAACAAATCAATAATTTTTTTAGCAGTGACCTGACACTTGTAATCTATAATATTATATTTGAATATACTTTCACTGAGCTTCTCCACAATTCTATATCACTTTTATTTGCTATTGTATAAGCCTGTCAACATCAAACTGAATCATGTCTCAAGTAAAAAAAACTTTTTGTAATATATGAAGACAACCAAATAACTAATTATTTCTTAATGATAATATGGACGTCACTAGCTATCGACCTATTTCACTTATATCAAGTTTAGCTAAAGTTTTTGAGAAATTACTCCTTAATAAAATGATTAATTTTCTTAATAAATTCAAATTCTAAATTCAAATCAATATGGTTTTATAGCGGGCAAATCTACAACAGATGGGGTATTAAGTATAGTAGATGAAATAACCCAAAATATAGATGGAAAAGTATCATCTATATGCGTATTTGTGGACTTACAAAAAGCGTTTGACACAGTTAACCACAATATACTTTGGAAATCTTAGAAAGAATAGGTTTTCGTGGAAAGATGTATACTTTAATGGAAAATTATTTATCAAATAGACCGCAATCAGTAAAATTATTAAGCTCGTATAGTAAAGAAATGTTTGTTAAATGTGGTGTTCCACAAGGTACAATTTTGGGTCCTCTGTTATCCAATATTTATTTAAGCGATATATTCAAAATTAACAGTACTGGTAAAATAGTCAGTTTTGCAGACGATACTGCTATACTCTATAAAGGTAAGGATTGGAACGTCTTAAAAGATATTATCCAAAATGACATTTGCAAAATTACTCAGTGGTTTAATAACCGAAAATTAACAATTAACTTTACTAAAACTAATTTTTTACCATTTTCATCACTATCTAATCATCTACCAAAATATAACCACCTTCGGTTTAAGGTAAATGATAAAAATATAAAAATCAATAGAGAATGATACAAAATATTTAGGAATTTATCTAGATCCCCACTTGAGATGGGATGTACATATTTCTCACATACTAAAGAAAATTAGATTCATAGCATATAAAATAAAATTTCTCACTGGTATATTAACTGAATATTATCTCCGAATAATATATCAAGCTTTAGTCGAGCCACACATAACATATGGTATAGTAGTGTGGGGTGCTGCATGCACGACATACTTTAACGATTTAGATGTACTTCAAAGAAGAATTTTAAAATCAATGTTAGGCAAATCAAAATTATACCCAACTAATGACTTATATAATGATGCACAAGTATATGATACTAAATAACTTTACTTCTTACATACCATCACTCATTATCACAAAACTATTAGTGAACACGACATAATTAAACATAATCACAAAACCAGATATAAATTACGCGCAAAAAATGTTCCTAAACCAAACAAATCCCTAATGAAACGATGTCACCTGTATATAGCTCCAAAATTGTACGAACATTTACCAAATAATTTAAAACAATTACGCAATACATTAGGCTTCAAAAAAAAATTAAAAAAATTTATTAACACGATTGGAAGAAATCAAATTAATAAAATAATCTCAAATATTACACAATAAATGCTCTACCATTCTTACCAATAATTTCTTTTTTCTCTCTATTTTATTATATTTTGAAATTCAACATACATATGATCCATGCACAGGCGTTGTCCTCCTATGGATATATTATATTTATTTACTCGTTTCATGTTCCCTGTATTTTAGAGTAAATAAATATTATTATTATTATTATTATTATTAATTATATAATTTTTTCCGACCACGTGCTCTATAATCCCATTAAGAAGTTCTTGATAGCTGTATTAGGAAGTTTCCCCGATATTTTTTCCATAAAAAAGCAATCTTGTGATGAGATCAACGTTTTATTTCGCAGCACACGCGACCCATCATACTATAAATCATTCGTGTCGAGAAACGTGGAAGATTTGTCGATAAATCCATTTTTTCTGGATACTCACGAAATATGGTTTTATGCCTTAGCCAGGGTGAGTAGGATCGCTGTTGATATTTATGTGGCATACTGAGACCTACCAGATGATTTTTGTTGAACCATTATGGGGAGGCTGAACACTGATCTTCCGATTACAAAGGGCGTTGCATCCTCAAAATACCAAGGCGGTTAGCGATCAGAAATAGTTCTGGATTATCTGGGATTTGCACAGGGTGGGCAACATAGCTGGAACCATCCCCTTCTCTCAGAATCCAGTGAATGGATTTACAAAGAATGTTAAGTGCAAGTTTCTTGATTTACATCAAAGTTTTATTTTATTGTATTTTTGTATATACAGGGTGTTCAGTTTTGCCAAGGTCAGCGCCAGCTTTACTGTTTCAACATTTTTTAATTGTATATATAATGTGCAATATACTTTGTCCTTACATACATGAGATTATTTGGTTTGGTTTTTAAGATATATCATATTCCATATATTTTTTTGACAAATGTAGTCACCCTGAAAAACATTACTTGATATATTCCTCGCGACACTATTTTTATATCTTTCAGCCGATCGAACATACGGCTAGCTCAAAATTGACATAAAAAATTTACAATATTCATTGTTCAGATTCCCTAGTATATTCGTCTCACTCCATATATCGATTTCAAGACACCAGAAGATGAACAGACGCATCTTTCCAAGCATGCGCATGGACAACACCGAAGAAGAAGAAGACGGCAGCATGATTGCACCTCCGATCGTCAACCCTCCAGGCGGGCGAAAAGCAACCAAGATAGTTAAACTGATAATAACTGAAAAGTTAGTGAATACATCCACTCAACACTCAAAAATACAGTCCACTCGCTCTCATCCTCAACATTAATCTTGAAAAATCTTATTGAACTTTCCTTATTTGGTCATTACCTAATATGTGTCCTCTATCCACAATTAGCATTTCAACAATATAACATGTCTTATGAAAATGTGTGTACTTTTCTTTGGTCATATCATAAAGTTTGATTGAGTTAAATAAATTTTTCTTTCAGAAACTAAACAGACTCGAAAACTTACATTTCCAGTCGTGGCACAAGCGCCATTTGAGATGCGAAGTCCTGAGATTGAAGGCCTTGATGTAAGCATAGGTGATGCGAACAGTATCTGTATTTGTTAACGATATTTTGGACAAACTTCTACCTACATCATTTTCTGCTCCGGTCTTGGATTTCGCAAGCTGTATACAAAAACTAAACAAAACATGTTGCAAATTATATGTAGAATTCTTCTTTTCTATAGCGAAGCGGCTTTGTAGGCAGGGACCTGAATACCGAGGTTCTGCGGCTGCTATAAGATATCATGTTACTCTATTTTCCCTAAGGTTGGTAGAACTGGGAAAAGCCTTCTTAGGCAGTCTCATTTCTCCAATCTCGATACAAAGAAGCGGACGTACCAGACAGTGCGCAGTTCGACTTGGTTAGGATGGGAGGCCGAAATGACGTCAATCTGTCTGGCAGGCTAATCGTGCGGCAGCATCATGTAAGAGAGCTCTGAGGAGCAAAGCCCGTTGACATAGCGGCAGAAGAGGGCCAGATCGCCCACAGCCCGACAGTGCTATAGGATCTCGAGAGTGTCCGTTGGCGAACACACATCGATCAGTCGGAGAACGCTCTTCTGGACAGCATCGAGCTTAGATAACCTTGGCCTGGTAGTAGAACCTCAAGCATATTTTCCATACTTGTGCTGGAGGAAGGGGGGACGCCACACGGACTCTAGCGAGAGAACAAGTGTGCATGCGCTTGCACGCATTCCGACCCCGCCTCAGAGATCCACCGGGTGGTACCTCCACGTTCGTCAGTTAGAGGCCGTCCACCGTTTTCGGACAGTTATAACATCCATAGCCAAGAGAAAAATTCTCTTGGGACGGGATTCGAATCCGCGCAGCGCTCGGTGACCGATTAGTAGACCCACTACGCCACCGCGGTGCCTGAACATGTAACGTGTTGACAGCATGATGGAAAAATATAAAACACGCCTTGAAAGCCTAAGATGAAGAAGTTTCATTATGGTTCAAACATTCTCAATCTGGAAAAATATTTATATACCTTCGGTTCATTTTATTAACAGCTAAATAAAAACTTGTTCTTGAAAATATATTTTGTTTCATATATTTGTAGTATTTGTAATATTGACGTATCGACTTAATTGATTTTAGATGTTATTTCTATACATATCGAAAAATATAAATGTATACAATTTAATTATGTACAACTTTGATACTTCTATCTTATCCACTAGAAAAAATAGTTTTCGAAATATAGAGTAATTTCCATTTTCCAAGATAGGGGCTGTGTGGTTGTATTTTTTGCTTGGCTGTCAGCTACTGTATTCTGGCTGTTCAACTGTCCGTTGTACAAGAGTTCTCAAGCGATTTACCCAGCGGAACTGTCTTGTATGTGGTTCGAGCGGCAAAGTAACATCACAGAATATTTAAACCAAAAGCTCCACTTAGGCAATTTCCCCAGTGCAATTTTCAGACGCCGCAGATAAGCGATCGGCTACGGAAGGCCACGCGCACCGCGACAATAAATCGGCGCTTTATATGTAGAGGCTCGCAGCAAGATATCATTAATTTCTATGGGTAACTGTATTTGATAGTCTCTGAAAGTCGGAACAAGACTATACATAATGCATGTTGAGATGTGCTTACTATGAAATCCTATTTTGCTTTGGTTCGGTCTGAGTTGTCAATAATAAGTACAAGCATTTTCACAATAACTCTCTGTGCTATATTTTAATAGTGATATCATATTTGGGATAGTCGCGAGCGTTTTTTGATCACGCAATCAGTTTCCCTGTTTATAGCCTCACAGTTTCACGAAATGACGAAATTTCAACTTTTTTCGAGAAATATGTGATAACTGATTGGAGGAAAAGAGGTACTAAGTAGATTGTCTCAGTACTCCCCACACATTAATATCTATGCTTATAGGGTGCGGCAGAGAGGACGGACGTTTTTGGGATGGGTAGTACTCTCCGCCTCCGTCTACGAGAGTGGTGAGGAGCGTGCCGTTTGACTCGCGAGAGCCTAGCATTATTTTACCAGTTGTCGTTATGGAGCCTTAGACGGTGGAGCACCGCGTTTTCGCCTATGATTGTTTCGTCCGAAATAATGAATCAGTCATCGTCGTGCAGCGTGACTTTCATCGCCACTTCAACATTCATCGGAATAGAGCTGTTTCCTCTCGAAACACCATCCTTCGTAGGGTTGAATCACTTCGCAGGCGTGGTGAACTGATCAACAGAAGACCAAGAGGAGTGCCGCGAACAGTTCGAACTCCTGAAAATGTCGAACGCGTTCGACAGGTCTTTCTTCACAGTCCGAATCGATCTGCCCGGAAACATGCTGCTGCACTTCGCCTTAGCGATTGTTCGGTAAGGCGAATTTTGCATATGGATCTCCGCTTTCACCCCTACAAACTGACCATTGTGCAACAGTTACAGCCGGAGATTATGCACAACCAATGAACTTCGCACGTGAGATGGAAGCACTGATCGATCAAAATGAGAACCTCATTTTGTTTACGAGTGACGAAGCCCACTTTCACCTAAACAGCATGGTTAACCAGCAGAATTGTTGTTATTGGGCTAATGAAAATCCGCAACAGTTACACGAAAGAAAGTTGCACAGCCCAAAAGTAACGGTTTGGTGCGCTGTATCGCAAACTTGCATCATTGGCCCTTACTTCTTCGAAGACGGTAATGGTCGTGATGTTACCGTGAACTCAGAGCGCTACGTCGACATGATCACCAACTTCTTTCTCCCAGAATTACGACGGCGACGTGTTCCAATCCGACGTGTGTGGTTCCAGCAGGATGGGGCGACCGCCCACACAGACCGAGCATCCATGGACGTTATTCGCCCTCTCTTCCCTGGTCGGCTTATTTCCAGGTTTGGCGATGTTCATTGACCTCCTCGGTCCCCAGATTTATCCATATGCGATTTTTTCTTATAGCGACACCTCAAGGCTAGAGTATACGCGAACAAGCCCCAAACTCTGGACGAATTGAAGGGCGAAATTCGCGTGGAAGTCGCCCAAGTTGAGAGAGCGATGTTGGAGAGGGTCTACGCGAACTTCCAAGAACGCCTCCAGCACTGCATCAACGATTTCGGCCACCACATGCCTGATGTGATTTTCCACACTTGACTGTCTCAAATGCTATTTCCTTGTGAACCTGATTCCATCAATAAATTTGTTTTCGAGTAAAAATTAACTACTTTATGATTTTTTTAAAACCGTCCATCCTCTCTGCCGCACCCTGTATCTATGTCGTGGTCATATCGTAGAAATGACCAACTGCTCGATCATTTCATGAAATGGTCGCCTTTCACGAAATGTTTCATTATCTACTGGGCAGATCATGTGTGTTGGCCAGATCAATGAGAACAAATCATTTAACGATATGATCAACTAAACGCGCGAATACTTTATAAAATGATCAAGCATGTTTGATCAAATCCTAAAATATTTACATTCATTACCGACAGAGATGCTGGCAGAGCATTGCTTACATTTCAGCACGGCATTCATTAACAACGGAGTTGTTTTTCGAAATGAAAATTCTAATTACTCGTTACTAAATGAGGAAGACAGTCTATTATATATAGGGTAGCCACGTGAGGTAGTAACTTGATTTATGGTATCTGATTGAGTTTACGATATGATCGATCGTCGATGACCAAATCGTTAAACGTTGACGATTTAATTATGAGTTTCAATTTAGTTGGCCATTGCATGAAATGTGACCATTTTTCAATTCTATGAAATGACCACGATATCTACACTCCTCTCATAAATTACCGTTAAGCTTATCGAATTCTGCAAACTCCTTTACACTCAAATTGAGCTCAAAGACAGTTTAGCTACACAGAAATTCTAAGCTTTGTTAGCGATATGTGAAAAAGGGATGCCTGGTTTCAGAGTTTCTAAACAACCTATACTTCTTCTATGGCCTGAAATAATCAGAAAGTAGGACAGCGTCAATAACAAACTTTCTCATGTTGCCTTCATGAACTTTTATACAAGCAACAACTCCGAAAACAACCAAAATATTAGGTTTGTCAACGTTCTCAAATATTATCTTTTTGACTTGTTCCTACACCACCATTGGTAGAAGCATTTAAGGTATTCTGTCGTAGCAGTACCTTTGTGTTGTAGTTTTATATAGGGAACACTATTTCAGTAATAACAGAGGTACTAGTGTGTATCGCACCGAAACATCGCCCAGTATTATCTCAAATACTTGTAACGCAAGAAATTTTTCACATGTAGGAGCACGCAAACATGAAACACGTGTTGTACTGTATCGCAGTCATTTAGGGCGTATCGTTTTTTTATCGCCGATTTTGAGCGTCGGTTAAATTTCATATGCTACCAGCTCAGAGTTTCATTCGGAAAGCTATCAATCATGTACGATTATCGGCCGCCGCCCTTTTACGGGAACCTTTGACGTCGACCTAAAGGGAACCGACGAGCTTTTATGGGGCAGTTATACGACCGATGCATGCCGATGTCTAAATTTACATAGGCTGTTGTCGTATCGATTGTAAAAATACCAATATATGACCTATCTGTATTCATTGGTTGAAAAACGTTGTTTCGTTGTTGTGTTCAAGATAACGTCTTAAAAGTTTTGGCACAATATATCTATCGGATTTTTTTTAATGAAAAAAATTGTTTAAACACTAACTAGATATCATAAATTACAACTCAATACTCAACTAAACTATACTATCGAATTATGTGGAGCGGCCCATTCTGCTCTAATAGACGCAACTTCCTTCGAATGTCTCTTCAGATCCTGTCCCCCTATTCTTGACTTTAATAGAAAATGA